ACTGTCATTCGAGAACGAACCGGGGAAGGGTGCTTTTCTTGTCGGGCTTCTTTCGAACTCTTGCTTCGCGTAAACAGGAAACGATGCTCCGTTTTATTCTATCTTAAATTCCCTGCTAGGATATTAAAGGCAACCGATCAAATATTTCGATGGATCTTCTTGCTGGTATAATTTGTCACAATGAAGATCGTACCTTTTTCTGAAATTAATAAGAAAATAATCCGATGTTCTCGTAAAAACAACCATCAATTATCGACTATTTTTCCCGGAATCGCGTTTTGCAAACCAGGAAATTTGCACAGATTCATCCGCGACAGCCGCAGGCAACAACCCTGGCGCTGAAAAAAAAAAGACACCGAAAACGTTAGCGGCAGCGAAGGGTGGCCGAAAAGGACTCACCGACGACAGGCAATTTTTGTCCCTGCGTAAGCTAAAAATACAATTTGAAAAATCCAACAATACCGGCCAATTCGCAGGAAAATGCGCCAGTCACCCGAACGCCGTCGGTATTGTTCGCCGGCTGGACACAATGCAGCCGATTGGCGGTCCCGGATTTTTACAACATTCGCGACTTTTTTTTTTTCGCGCGTAGCTACCCTCCCGCTCGCCACCTGCCACCCTGCCGGTTCGCCGGCCAGGCGAACCACCTTTTTTGTTTCCTTTTCCACTCCTTTTTTCCGACGACGACGGTTTGCTGCACGCGCGGTTCGCGCGCCAAAACCGGGCGTAATCGCCGCGTTACGCGGCGAAACGCGATTTGCATAGCCAGAGCCGAAAAGTGGCGGCTGCTACGTTGATTTCCTCTTTTTCTTTTTTCTTTTTTCTGCCTCCCTCGCTGGCCACACCGGCAGCCTGACCCACGGCCGAGCCGTGTCGGCTAGGATAATCCGCAAAAAGCAGCGGATACCTCGAAACTGTGCCTCCTAAAGCAGCCCGTCGCGAGAACGCCCGCGTGTACACGCGCGTTTCCACGTGCGCGCGATTTTTTTGCCGCGTTCCAACGACACTCTGCGTTTATTAACCCCCCTGCTGGAGGGTGGAACGCGCGAGTTTGCGGCGAGTCAAGCAGTCGTACGAATTTTTAATTACGCGACCAGATTGGCGCCCACGCAAACATCGCCTCTGATTAGCGTGATTCCGTTACGAGAGAAACAACGAATTTTTTAATTAATACCAGATTATTTTCCTCTCGGCTCCTCTTAAGATGTCGCATTATATCATTTCAATTTTCGCTTGAAATTCTCGGAACACGGAATATTTCCCTTGTAGACCCCTTATGTAATTATTTAACCCTCAAATTTATAAAGCATGAAACTAAACGCTCAAGTTACCACGCATATGTCTTTCGCAGCGTCGTTCGGGCTGGATCCAATCAATTTCGCGTCACTCGCCCGAAGAAACTCTTCACCCAGAAAGCCGGATGGGTGCAAGGGGAGGGTTATTTAAATTCTGTTACAGCGAAATCGCTTCGACTCGCTGGGAATAATTAATCGTCGAACAAAAAGATTCTTGTTTCCATAAATTAAGATAAATTCCTGTGACACGTCGGTTCGTTGCCAAACATCGGCGCAGTTTTTTCTCTGGAACGAAATAGTGGGAGGGGAGGGAAAAAAAAGAAGGGAAGAGAGTGGTCCATCGGCAACGGTACTCCCCCAACGAATCTGTCACGCTCCCTTTAGCCAGCTTGTAGAACGAAGCTGACGCGTGCGCTCGCACGCACACGATCATCCCCTTTCTCGTCTCCGCGAGTAACCACCCACACCGACGAGATACGTTAACCGGTACACCGACAATTCGGGCTACTAACAAACCCAATAAAAATAATGCACTTTCGCGCATTCGCAAATGAACGTTGTCATTTTATTTCGACAGGAATGAGTCACGTGGCGCAGTGGGGCTGCCAACAGCTTCCGCCGCTGATAATAATTATGGATATTGAGAATGGTTATCGCTGACTACCCCCCGTATTAATGATCGCCCCGATGTCGATGAACAAATTTTCTGTGTCTGCTATCTAATTTTTTTTTTCTGTGTGTAATCATAGGAAGAGGGTGATTTCATTAATTTTAAAATTAATTTTGAATTAGTAATATTTGTATTGCTACTATAGTCCGTTCAACGAGACGAGTCAGTATTTGTTTACAAATTCACGCGCTCGACGCAGGGTCGGAGCTCAGTCGTTTCCAGTTCTTCAAACGTGTCGGTCGAGGTTTGTGTACTGTGAGCCGAGCCTGCTTCGAGCACGTGAATTTATACACCTTTACTGTCTCGTCTCGTTGGATCGACTGCATCTCCGTACAATGCAGCTAAAAATTTTCATCATCGAACTCAAAGCTCAGAGGTACGCATCTCCGATTGCCATTTTTTAACATTCCACGCTATAATTTCATGCATCGTTTCGATCAATTCTCGTGAAGTTGTCATCGCAAAAATTCCGATACACGCCAGGGAAGAATGAACGTTTCACGCCATGAACATTTTTTTTTATTCTTCCATGGAGGGTGGATAGGTGGCGGACGCATAACGTGTAATTACTGTCCATGGAACGGTGGAAGCTACGTTTATGTGCTGACCGTGTAACGTCCAGTTATACACGGTTCTCGATAGTCGTCATTTACAGGAACGTCGCGTTGGATACGGGCGTGTACGCGTGTGCCTGTTTATGAATTGACATCGCATTAGGGATATTGCTTAACAATAGCGACACTGTTGCCTCGTCGAAGGGCCGGCGTGAAAAGCTGTTATTTTGAAACGCGTTATCCCCGCGAGTAGTAATTGCGAGATTGCTGAACGAGTTATGGAATACCGCACCCATGTATCTCGCTACTTTGTGTCATAAGACTGCAACGTTTCTTGGAAATTATCTTCTAAAACCGGTAATTTCACTTTAGGAATAGACGTTTCTTTGAATTATTCTTATTGGGTATAATTATAGAAAACACATGATTTCTCTCACTTTCAATTTTCACCATGACGTTGTAATAATTCTTCACGCTTCTTTTTTCACTTGAAAAATTCATCGAATCGTGTCTTATTAATTTCTCTGCTAGAACTTCGAGCTACCGCAAAACTTGCGCGTTTATATTCCGTAATTAATTAACGTGGCTCATAGTCGGGCAGAAAGAAAACTTTTGTATAAACATCGTTGTAATTAAATTCGTTGCTGCGTTTTCATAGAAAAAAGAGGGAAGAGGGGAAAGGAGGGAAAAAATGACGGAGAGGGTTACGTAATTTCTGAAACGTTCTTTGTGACTTCTTCTGCGAGACGCTTTCCAATAGAACCGGAACACTCGAATTCGTAATTATAAAAGTGAAACGGCAAAGCGACCGCCGGCAAGAATGCGAATTTTTCTTCTTTCTTTTTTTTCTTTTTAAACACAATAAGGCGAAACACCGGGTTAAACGGGGTTTTCTCGCCTTGTTACGTCGATACTTTGCGACACCCTCATTACCTTTCAACGACAAAGTAATTCCGCCTGGAGAATTAATACTATTAAAACTATCGCGTCGGACACTTTACTTGGCTTCGCTGTTCCCTTTGCCGCTGTTTCACTGAATGACTGAATCGTTAGAAATATTTTCATTCAACTCTTTCTAAATGACACATGTTACACGAATATATTGTTACATATTTAACTCATAAATTGAGCTTTGACGATTCTTGGAAACTTTTATTATCCTACGTTTTCTTTCAGCTTTAATTGAAGATAAAGAAACGAATCTAGATATACATTTTATATGATCGTGATCTGCCATAGAACTTTAAGTTGCTACTTTCCTGCAGCAAAGTCGTTTAACAAAGGGTTGTTTTACACCTTTGACGAAACGCTTCCATTTTATTCGCGCGCCTCCGCCAAAAAGAGAGAAGAAAAGAGACTCGTGTCAGACGCACAATTGCAGCGCGTAAATAAAATATTCCCAGCCTAGAAACGAAAGCAGTGTGGCGAGATTGAAAAAAAAAAAAAAAAGAAAATGAGTAGAACGAGGTGGTACAGGTAGCCGGGCGCGTTGTAAGGCAATTCTCAAACCGTAGGCGCGCGACCGCGTGAAGTGCATAAACTTCCGGTGACGCTTGCGCGTGCGAGGAAGCGAAGGTGTATATAGAAAACCGGCGGGCAAGTTGGGCGCGATATAAAACGCCTTTGTCTTGCAAAAACCCGCAGACGTATATCATGCGAGGCCAGGGCAACGGGCATTGTTTCGTTCTCGCATAATTATCGCGAGTCACGTTTTAAAGTTGAATTTCACCTAAATAAAGCTTAATGTTATTATCGCGGCCACCGGCGACCCGCTACCGCCATTATGAACTGGTTACAGTCTCAAACGTCATTGTACCACGAAACGATCGTTTCCAACGATATTAAAGGCAGAAACGACGACGTTTTTCCGCTGGAAATTTTTTTTTCTTCGACCGCGATCGCTGTTAATTAGATGCACGCACCTTTGCTAAATCTTTCTTAATTATTATTCAGAATTTTCTGATAAAGACTTTGGGAACCGCGGGTGACAGCCATTGACGTCATCGGTAAATCGAGAAATTAATTACTGAAATTGCAAGAAAAACCAGCTGGCTCGATAACTGATACAACTTCATTAAATTTACCGATCGATGAGAAGTCGTGGACAGGATGGCGACGCTGGTGGAGTGGAGTGGAGGGGGGCAAAAAATCGGGCTATTATCCCTCCGAAAACGGCGGTATTGATAAAACCCGCGTCGCGATCACGGCCGACCGAACAAACACAATGATACCGAGCGAACGAAATTTTTTTTTTTTTTCGTGTTCCCCTCCCGTTGGCGGGTCGTTGCCGCGAAACTCCCTGGATAAAAGTCGGCGTAATAAGCGGCGAACGTTCCAAAAGGGGTCGAAGGGTGGATTAACCGACGGGTGGCGGCCGTTGATGGAACAACGTAATACATACGTGATGTTTAATTAATCAATTAATAAACGTATTATTGTTTTGTTTAATTAAAAATAATGAATCTCTCTCTTTCTCTGTAGCGTTGGTGGGCGGATTTACGAACACGGCCGGCACCAGCATCATCCACCGTACGTATCAATTGCATTTGAAAGCTGACGCAGCCGGGCTACGGCTCAGCCTTCCGTTATCCGTCTGTGCTTTTTATCGATACGATAGGTATTGTTCTATTTTTTTTTTTTCATTTTTATTTTGGTTCGTCTTAACCCCGATGCCTTGGTAGTTTCCCCTTCTTGCGATTACACTCGGTTCATAAATGTTCTACCTCGAGGAATGTTGAAATTCAGATCGTAGATTTGAACGGTGTATCAATCAATATGGATATACAAATAATCCTCGGTTATTTTTAATTAATTAAAAGTAGCGTCAATTTCAAACCGAAATGCATGGGATTTCTTTTTTAATAAATATTCATAGTTCTTCTAATTTTTTCCAATAGTAAAATTGCAAAAGCATGTACGAATAGTTCGTCAGAATATATTTTAGAATGCTTCTGCTGATCAGTATTCAATTTTATACACGGCTAAAAGTACAGACGACTTTCATTCCCGCATACTGTCCGAAAGAGATGAAACAAAAATTTTACAATATAAATGAAAAATAACGTTGATTCGTTTATCCGTGGAGTTCAAATCTTATTTAGGAAATATTTCATCTTGTAAGACCAGTATGAATTTCGTACCGCCCTTAGTCTTTAATAACTCAGTAATTGATGCAATAAAACTAATTGAAAAGATCGAAACGGCGTTTCAAGCCGATGGTATATAAACAATGCGTTCGTTCGATGGTGAAAAATAATTAAAAGAAGACGTATAACGTTACGGCTGGTTCCATCGTTCGAGTGTGCCGCAGCAATTTCAATATTTCAATAGTGTACAAAGCAAGAATGAAAAAAGAAAAAAAAAGGAGAGTTTAACGAGGGCCAGAATCCATGCGATTCCCAGCCGAAACCTCGCGTCCACGTTTGACGGTTTATATTCGCGGCCAGTCGATTTTAATAAACTCGATGTAAACGGTTCGACCCCTTCCCTTTGTGGAGAAAGTTTCCGGGAGAACGCGCCGATTTTTAAATATAGCGCCGGTAGGTTTGGTCCACCAATGGGAGCCGGATGGGTTAGGTCTGGGAAAACCGTACCACCGTCAAAGCTTTTTCGCAAGCGTTCCTCCGCTTGCCTCGCTGATCCACGAAAAAGGCTCGCCATCCGTGGAATCTTTTGTTTATAATTTTTTTGATCATTACCCCAACAGGCTACTAATTCCGCCGTCGGGTGCATTCAAAATTTATCGACGGCGCGACAAAACGCACCCTCCAATCTTTTTTATCTTCCCTCTCCGTCCATCGGTTCGTTGTCTCCATTCTTTCATCTCTATTACTCTTCTTCTGTTCCTCTTTCCCTCGCAGTCCCTCGTTCTTTTTTTTTTTTTTTTTTTTCAAGCATCCCACTCCCTATTGGACGGCGTTCAAAGGGTATTCAGAGTCGAAGGTCCGGAAACAGTTCGGAGCAGAAAAAAACAGGTAGACGGAGTTAGGCACTTGTTTGTCGAACGGATCCATCGTGATTTTCCAAAAATTCAAATCCTATTCTGGCAATGGGTCTTTTTCTCTTCGCTCTTGGCTAATTACCCAGTGTTTACCCTTTGTGTAATTATTTTCATGAAAATTCAAGCTTCGAATTGATATACCATAAGTGTTATATTGCAAATTTAATATCCAAAGATTGCTTCATAAAAATTAGTTGATAAACCTTCGTATTCACGAAGTGTTGTTTGAAATTGATTGCTCCGTGAATACTCTCTACCACCCGCTGTATATTCGCCCTTTGATCCTCCCTCTGGCATCGTTTTTCCGGCGTAATTATCAACGTTTAAAGCGTTCCCATAATCAAAAATGTCTCCGCTGTTGGAGGTTTTTTGTTCCGGCGCCGCGTTTCGAGTGGTAATCAACTGCGCATTGCTCGTCAAAAGAAAGCAAGCACCGTTAATGAGACGCTTACACGTCCTGCAATCCCGATACCGCGACCGAGGGGCGTATTTAAAAAAAAAAAAAGAAAAAAATAAAAAAAAAAAGAAAAAAAGGGAGAGAGAGAAGAAAAAAGTACACAGGCAGAGAAGTGGCCTCGAGGTGGTGGTAAAGGGTAACAGTTTGCATTCAGAGATCGCGGCATACAAGGGTGCTACGGGGGAGAGGGTGAGAGCAGCAGAAGCGGGGCTACGGAGAAATAATGTGTTTAGGCGCAGGCATTTTTATCGCGCTACACCCCCGCCCCCGCGTCCCTCCGTTCAACCCCACGGCACGAAAGCTTTTGTTGTTTCCAATGCTTTATGTGAATTGCACTGTAAAATCTCATTATATTCGTGTGCAATGCGTCCATTATATCCCGTGCCAGAAACATTTTTCCCTTCCCGATTTTTCCCTCATTCTCTTCTTCTCTTTGCTTTTCCCCTTTTTTGTTTCGTTCCCCACTCCTTCTCTTTTAAACATTCCCTAAATTTATTCGCTCCCGCGATGCACCCTGGTCTAATTTGTTTTAAAGAAGCCGCTTGGTAGGATAGGATGCACCCTAATTAGCTCGTGACTCGGATTATCGCTATTCAATTTCTTTAATTTGAATACTTTCCAAACGTCTCGTCGATGTAACGAATGCAAGTTTCGAAACGTAGAAACAAATGACGATGCATCATCGGGTGATTATTAAGCAGAAAGAAACTCGGCCGAATAAAAGTACGAGACAAACCGTTAAGCTTCAGAGCAGCAAAGCGACTGGGAGGTTAATGGCGCGTCGTTGCGTATTCCAACGGTGTTTGTTTCCTCGCAGTTGGCAATAAACTAAGATAAATGAATGTCCGTAGGCTAGGCCACTATTATTCCTTCGCTCGCTGCTTACATTAAGTTGCCTCGCATTAACGGCGATGCGGAATGTATCGCACCCATTACAACCTCGAATTCCCGATCGAACGTTCCTCTCCGCCTACGAAATAACGAGGAACAGCCACCTTTTCTTCAGGAACTTGAAATTTAGGATCAAAGGTGTTCTATCGATAAAAAGAAAATTTGAACAAAAGAAAAATTCTTGGTACTATTTTAAACAAATTAGATTCATAGCTTTTATCACTTGCAACGAATGCAAATAATCATCGAATAATTAAAAAATAACAGAATCGTTACAAATTATCCCATTCATCCTGTATATCCCGACTATTCTTGCAAGCATTATTCGCGTTTTGCATGCCTGAAGTAACTACCGAAGTACGTGCAAAGCAACGATTCAATTCAACAAAGGAAACCGAAATGCATGTTGAAAACGATTTCTTTATTACCCTAGAAATATTCCCGTTTCGTTGGCCGTAGGCCGAGCGAAAGGGTTGAAAATTAACGCGTCGTTGCGAGTGGAAATGATCAGCGATGCATCGTGCAGTTAACAGGGTGGGTTAGGATAACCGCGGGAAACGTTACGATTCGTTCTTAAGTAGCGAAACAGGGGTTGATAGGGCAGAGGGGTAAGAAAAGAGGAGGAGATCCTCGAGGGCAGGATGGCAGGAGCGTCGACAGTAACGTCGCAAAATCCACTGCGAGTACGCCTCAAATTCCGGCAGAGGAGGCTCAGCTCGTAAAGCACAGGAAGATGCATGCCGGGATATTAAGGCCATTATCGCCGTTGCATATTCATGCCGTATTATAATGAAAATACAGTTTATTACCGAAGATTAACAGCTTCTTACGACGACGCGCGCCCGCTGGCGTTTGGCGAGTACGCTTCGCGTCGTTTCACCAACCCCTTGTCATCATAGAGTCGTTCCGATGTTGACGAAAGCGTCGGGTTTATAACATTCTTGCCGAGCTTGAATTTTAACGCCGCACCAGTTTCTCAGTTGTAACATTCTTTTTTTCGATGCCGTCATGATAAATTTTAATTAATTATCTGTGTTGAAAATTGTCTTGTACCAGGGTAGCCATAAATTGGCGGTAATAATTTTTTTATGGATCAAGCAGAATTCAAATTCATTGCCACCTTCGGCCAATTTTGTCATCAACGTTTTCGATCCAAGCAAGCAATCTCAACTCCCTACGTAGTCACGGAACGAGCCGCTACAGTTTCCGTTTACGTAGCCGTAAATAAGTAAATAATTCATTCTCTGACTCGCTTGGCAAGTGGCACGAGGAGCGAGCGTGTCTTGGAGGACGACGAAGAAGTTGGAGGGATGAAAGGGAGAAAGAGGTAGCGGTAGCGTGAAGACGAGGAGGACAGATTGGAAGGAGAAGGTTTAGCGGATAGGGGGAGGGTAGTTGAAATCTGCATAATATCGGTAATGCTCAAAATGCGAGTCGCGTAGCTACCTGCCTTGCTTACCCCGCGCGCCGTTCCGCAGTCGCGTCAACTAAAACTTAATTATAATTAATTAATGCGACTGCTAACTGTGGCGGCCGGACAAGTATTGACCCGACACGACACGCCATCCTCGACCGTTTCTGATTCTATTCCGCGACCTCTCGCGTCGCTCTCCCGATCTTCTCCGCTTCCTTTGGCTGGCTGTCTCGCGATCCTCGCCGCTCCGATGTCGTCAACTTGCTGACGCGGCAGATTTCACCTCTTAATTCTTCATTCGGACGCCATCCCCTATCGTTCGACCGTCACCGTACTCACCCCTCGTGCCTGGATGTCGGCTCCGAGCTCGGCTCGAACAAGAACTGGGACATAACATTTCCGTGGCGAAGGCGGCACTAAGTCTATGGCAGCGTGCAGCACGTAATTAGAAACCTTTGTGCAAAATGAATACTGTTAATTAACGTACCTAAAAAGACATTATACCCGCGGCGCGGCGTGGTAAACTAAATATGGCCTCCGGCGAGCGTATTACACCGTTCACGGTGTAAATAAGCGATTTGCTGCCGCCTCCGTTACCGCTCGCGCTATACGCTTTCTTGTTGCCGTTAAATCATAATGAATTGTATTCGCGAGAAGACTTTCTCGAACCCTTCTCTCCATTGGCTTCGAGTTTCCTCGCGCACCCTTCGTCGATTTTATGCTACGCCTCTCGGTGACGAACGTTTAATAATTGATCGACGAAAAAT